AACGAAACGGATATTTTGAAATAGCATCTACGGAATTGTACGGAATTTTTTATACCAATCAACGGATTCCTATCCTATAAAAAAATGCAATTCCTGCGTACAATTCTCTTATTTAGAAATAATGTTTTTATTTCTTTATATGTATAGATGTATATTCATACCACCTTACCCTTTTTCTGCCGGCAAATAGCAGTGCATGCACTGATGTGTGCCGGTCTGAATAGTAGGTATATAGAGGCAGTATATTTAGAGGTAGTGAGGCATTCCATCTTTATCCTCAAATGTGACAACAACGCATCAGCAGTCTTCTTTGTTTAAAGTTGGCTGCAGGCGTCATGGACTGCAGTAGCCACTTACCATCAGATGGACTGCAAGTTCGTTTGTTTCTTCAGTTTAGAAAGAAAATATAAAGGTCTTCAAAAATAAAAAAGTGATGTATGACACGTTAAATAATGTCTACACATCAAGAATGTCCGAAGTAATTTAATAAGACTTCGATTCGATAAAGTAGAGTTTGTAACTACCGCTGTCGTACCAACCAATCAGGAAACAGCCTTAGGGTCAACATAACATAAATCTATTATGTGACATAAAATGGTTGTTTCTAGATGGTGGGTATGTATTTTATGAATCAGTTGGCTAAGCTTAATGTAAAATAATTAAATGATGATTATTTGAGGTTCCATTACTCTACATGATAAAGATTTTTGTTGTATCAGAACACAAATTCTAAGGAATAAAAACAATAGACAATCATTTAAATATTTGATATACCTACCTATTATGCTATATATTTTCTTGAAATTTACTACAAAAAAAAAACGAGAAGTAACTGTGATTTCTAGTCGATGAACTCTGATTTTATAATGTTAAGAATTAAGCATTTTTCTTTATGTAAACAACTTATGCTCACTGTATATATGAGTAAGTACTGTAAGATTTTATTACTTACTTCTAATCACTTAGAAGTTTTATCTGTGCAAAGTATTTTTAACTGGCTCAATATTGGTACAAATTTTCATTATTGAATACTATCCATTTTGCTATTTATTATATTTACATGATTGAAAAATTTAATATTAATATCGATGAGTAGTCATTTTCAAATTGCTTAAAATATTTTTTAAATATGCAGCAAAAATAACTTGCACAGATATGTAAGAATTTATATTTTTTAAAAACATTATTTACTGCTTATGTTGACCTTCCTACATATTATGTATAGGTACTTAATATCTATTCAACATGTACTTACTATTTTTATCAGCACATGTATTGAAATAAACTTGTTATTAAAATTTGTTTAATTTATTTGTTTTTATGATTTTCATAGTAACAACTTTATCATCATCATTCATCATTACAGCCCTTCACAAGTCCACTGCTGAACATAGGCCTCCCCCAAAGAATGCCACAAAGCACGGTCCTGAGCCACCTGCATCCATCGACTTCCTGCATGTCTTACCAGGTCGTCACTCCATCTCGTGGGGGGACGCCCTACACTTCGCCTACCGGTACGAGGCTCCCACTCGAGAACCTTTCTTCCCCATCGGTTGTCGGTTCTTCGAGCTATATGGCCGGCCCACTGCCACTTCAGCTTACTAATTCGTTGGGCTATGTCGGTTATTCTGGTTCTACTGCGGATATCCTCATTCCTAAGTTTATCACGCAGAGAAACTCCGAGCATAGCCCTCTCCATAGCTCGCTGAGCGACCTTGAGCTTCCTCATACGGCCAGCAGTGAAGGACCACGTCTCAGTTCCGTAAGTCATCACTGGCAACACGCACTGGTTGTACAATTTCGTTTTTAGGTTTTGAGGTATGTCTGACGAGAAGATGTGTCGTAGCTTCCCGAACGCTGCCCAGCCGAGTTGAATCCGTCGATTGACCTCTCGGTCGAAGTTGGACTTACCTAGTCGGACTATTTGTCCCAGGTAAATATACTCGTCAACAACTTCGAGCTTAGTGCTCCCAACAACTACCGGCATAGGTGTGACATGGACATTAAACATAATCTTTGTTTTGTCCATGTTCATCTTAAGACCTATCCGTTGGGAAACACTATTGAGGACATTGAGCATAGTGCTTAGGCCCTCCAGCGATTCTGCCATAAGGACTATATCGTCGGCAAATCGAAGGTGAGTGATGTACTCGCCATTGATGTTGATACCGTACCCTTTCCAGTCCAGAAGTTTGAAAACGTCTTCCAATGCAGCGGTGAAGAGTTTCGGGGATATGACGTCACCCTGTCTTACACCTCTCTGCAATTGGATAGGTTTCGTACTCTGGTTCTGTACTCGGATAGCCATCGTAGCCCTACTATACAAGCACTTCAACACTTCGATATACCGACAGTCAATTTGGCACCGCTGAAGGGACTGCAGCACCGCCCAAATTTCGACGGAATCAAATGCTTTCTCATAGTCCACATACGCCAGACATAGTGGCAAATTGTACTCTTCGGACTTCTGTACAACTTGCCGAAGGGTATGTATGTGGTCTATGGTGCTAAAGCCCTTTCGGAAACCGGCTTGTTCGGGAGGCTGGAAGTCGTAAAGTCTGCGCGCGAGACGATTCGTAATGACTCTCGAAAACAGCACGTAGACGCGGCTCAGAAGGGAAATCGGTCTATAGTTCTTCAAGAGAGCGTTGTCACCTTTCTTGAAGAACAAGACCACCGCACTTCTGCTCCACGCCTCCGGTGTAATGCCACCATGGAGGACGGAATTAAAGAGCTTCTGAAGGACTTCAAGTACCGGTCTTCCACCCGCTTTCAGAAGCTCCGCTGTAATTCCATCCTCGCCTGGGGCCTTACCGTTTTTAAGGTGCTGGAGAGCCATTCTAATCTCGCTCAGACTGACGTCCGGGATATCTTCGGAATAGTGTCGGATGAGACTCGCTCTTGGATCGTTACTCACACTTGCGTGTGGCTCCAACGATGACGTGTACAGCTGCCCATAGAACCTCTCAATCTCACTCAAAATCTCAGGTGTCCCGGAAACGATGCTGCCACATTGTCTTCAGCTTTGACAGTTGGCTCTTTCTGGCAGACAGATCTCTGGCAAAGACTTTGGAGCCTTGGTTCCGCTCGATTGCTTCTTCAATACGAGCTGTATTGAAGTTGCGTAAGTCCCGCCGCATGCATTTTGAGATCTGTCTGTTCAGATGCCTGTATGCTGTCAAGTCTGTTGAAGAATGTAGCTTCATCTCCCGTCTAACAGCCATGAGATTAAGAGTGTGATCGGAGAGTTTTTGTGTTCTTCTGCGGCGGGTCTTGCAGAACTTAGCTCCGACCGCATGGACAGTTTCCACGAGCTTGTCATTCATATCGTCCACTTCATTGCAGTCTTCTAGGCACTGAAAACGGTTTTGTAACTCGAGCTGAAAGGTTTCGGGACTTTGGATTAGAGCACGAGGGGGACGGAGCGTAGACTTCATTAGACGAGACCTCTCCAACTTAACGTTTAGGTTCAGTGTGCCTCTAACCATTCGGTGATCGCTACCAGTTTTCACCCTTGCGATCACAACAACAACTTTATAATTTACATTATTTATATAATATGGACACAAGAACTGATATTGCCAGAAACAGTCATGGTAAGATTTTGTATTGACAAAAAATACTTCTTACGAAGACATTAACTCCCAACTCTTATCATCAAGCAATCTTAGGATGTTATGGGCATTGTTTGAGGCTACTTAGGGAAAGGCGCTTTTCAGTGGTTGACTATTCACAGACTGATTAAAAGGTGGAGTCCCAATCAATATTTGCATAGAATGAGGTAGTTCATTAATGTAGTAAGATTAACAAGTGGTAAAATTAAAAATGTTGTACAACTGACTTCAATATAAATTATTATGGATATCTCAAAAACTACTGGTCAGACCTTGATCAAATATATATGGGACCACATGAGAAGCACCTGCTTTTAAGTAAAATCGGTTCACCTAGAAAGATGAGGTAACACATAAAAAATGGCACAGTCAAATTGAGTAACTTATCCTCCTTTTAAGTCATATAAGAAGTAGATCAGTAGTAGAGCTAATATTTTTAAGATACAATTAATTTACATTTAGATTGGATGTATTATTATTGACCCAATGGAGATTGTGACTATACCTCCCTGACTAACCAGCTATCACTAATCATCATAATATGTGTAAGACTGCTTCATCACATAAGGGTAAGTAAGATAAAAGGAAACATTTTTGTTTGTTCATAACATTCTCCACCATCATAGCAGTCTATTTTAAATTTAAACAAAAAAGACATGTGCAAAGCAGGTCTAAGAGATCCACCTGCCTCCCTCAACATATATAACATCCTTTTGCAATATGCAATGTCTAAGTGATTATGATGGTACCTTTCTATCCATATTTAACAGAGGAATTTAAATTATCTTAATATTAGGAGTTTAAACCAATGGGACAAAATAAACATGGGTATTTCTCAAATTAACCTATCAATCTCTTGTTCACCTGCCCTCATAATATTGTATCAGTGTATTCAAATGTATTTGCAGTTGCATGATCACTGTCAGCTCTATTTGTCATGTATAATGCAATTGCCAAGTTATTTAGATCAATGGTGAAGATATTCCATCATACATATTGTCACAACCAAATAATTAGTTACTAGGTACTTAGAAAATTTTGCCAATGGTTGTTTTTCAGTAATGAACATTACTAAAATGTATGTAGATAAATATGAACAATGGTAGATATAGATATTATGATGTGTTTAATCATCTCAGTCAACTTGAGGCTATTATTAAAATATGGATACTATACACAATATATGATTAAGAGCTATTTATTCCATTCATTTGATTCACTGATGCGTTCAGTGCATATCTAAATAAAAATCAATACAATGGTACAATTAATTATGATAATTTATTATACATTTTGAATTCAAAAGAAATAACATTTCTTTCCACCCTATCTCTGGACAATAGATGTATCACAATATCATGGACACATCCAAAATGTACAGATAAATTATATAGCAGTCCCTCTTTCCAAATTTTGTTTAATTTCCGCTGTGTGCTCTCCATAGAATCTTTCCAATTTCTTGTTGAACTTGGCATTTCTTTCATTAATGTAGTCAATGTCTGCATCATCATTGTGAATACGACGTCGTGAATATTTCGCACGTTTAGCAATCTGTCCTTCTAAATCATTAACCATTTTATCTACTGCTTCTTTTCGATCTTCATGCATGCCATGTATTATAACATTTGGTCCACCATAAAATGCATCGCCATATTTTTGTTTCTGTTTTTCATATTGTTCCATATCAGTTGTTGGCATATTCTTTACAAGTCTATTATACTGTCTGACTGTTGCTTGTTCATACGTAGAAAAACCTTGATCGGGATTCTTTTTCTTTTTTTTACGCTCAAGCCTTTCAGCTTCTACTGCAGATATATTCAATAATTTCACTCTGTCATATTCTTTACCTTGTTTAGCAGCTTCTTCACGCTTTTTCTGGTCCTCCAACAACCATTCTGCCTGTCGTCGTTTTGCTTCGTAATTGGGAGGCAGTTTGTTTCTAGCCTCTTCTGCGACAACTTCTTGATGGTTGTGACTTCTAGCTTCATTTCTAGCCGTATGGAGAGAACGTAATCTTTTCATGCGTTCAGCTTGCCTTTCCGCAAAACTCATTTCTCTACATGCTGATGACGATGTAGATGTTTGTGGTTCTTCGACAGTGCTCATTTCTGCTGTTATTTTTACACTTGAAGATGTATTTTAATATAAAATTTTGATTGATGTATTTAGGTATTTCTTACATTATCATAACATTTTGTAATTGAATGAAATATAGTAAACAAACGTAACAATTAAATTACTTCTTTGACACAAATATACGTAGTCATAGATAAATAAATATAAAGTGCGCAGTTATTTTTTTTATAACTGACTTTACTTACGGCTCTGGGTTCTTGTCCTTCTGAGCCTGAAGATACAATATATAATTATACTTCATAGTACACTGCTTCACAATATGCTGATGCGTCACATTGTGTAGCCTTGGGATATTTTGACGGCAACTTAAGCCAGCAGACAGATGACAGTTGGCAATGGTATCTCAAGGTGCCTAAGCAGACACCTTATCTTGAGAATCACATCGCCATCAGATCACTTGTTGCACCATTTCCACTAATAGTTCACATGCGTAGACTTTTACATATCAAAGTCCACTTAAAATAATTTAAATAATAATATAGGACCAGCAAACCGCCGCCGGTCAAAAAGCTTTTGGTCTTTCCCACCAAAAGCTCTGCGCAGTTTCGGTTTATACAAAGGTACAGTATACAGCCTGTGCTGTGACCATAGATAAATAAATATGTAGCAGGCTAAAGGTACAATTCCGTCGCCGACCGCAGACAGCAGCAGCAGGCGACGTGTCATCGCGACACTACTGGTTTCTATGTAGTTCTAGAAATACTTTCCGTAGCTAGCTATGCGTCGTTTGCCGGAGCCGCAGACGATATGTCGCCCGACCGCAGATCAGTAGTGCCGCCAACGCCCGAGCGACACGTAGATTTTGACCAAAAAATGAGTTCCACCGATTCCCTGGAAGAGAAACTGATAAACCAGGTGGCCCAATATCCCACACTGTACGATGCATCTCACAATAATTATTTAAACAGTGTGACAAAAGATAATATTTGAAAAATTATAGGAAATAAGTTAAATAAAAGCGGTAAATAGGTATATATATAAAATAAATAAATAAACTTTATTTCAGTAACATAATTCGTACAGTTTTAACCGTGTCCGGAATCTCCTTTTAAGTAAAAAAGATACCTGTGTTAGGAGATTCTGCTCTTCCATAACAAGTCACTTCCACAAAGTTTGTGTGTGTGTGTGTGTGTGTGTGTGTAAGTAAGTGAGTGGGTGGGTGTGGTTGTGTGTATATAAATATGCCATTACCTTAACTAGAGCTTATCGCTGCTGTGAAAAGAGCTTCCGTATCATCATAACTTTTTGTTATTAGCCAGTTTGTCAATAAGATTTTACATTTGTACTTATTTTGTGAATATATATTATATATTAACAAAATAAGTACAAATATAGTATAGTAGTATAGTAATATATATATATATATATATATGTATACATACACAGAGTACCGATTTTGTTCACATAAATAGAGTACCCACAGAAAATTCGGAACAGATTAGAACACGGGCTGCTGCCGCCTGCATTCGGGTTCTGAATCATGACTGCAGCGACATGACGCGACGACATGTCGCATCCTGTTGGTGTCTGCGGTCGGCTACGGAATTGTACCTTAACGTAGACAGAGACGCAGGTTAAATTTACGTAATCTGTGTTTTTTTTATTAAGATTTCTGGCTTGGCTGCTTGTACTTTAAGCCATGTCTTCGTTCATTCGGGATCTTCGTTTTTACAGATTTTCAGTATTAAGTTATAATAATACTTTATAGTACACTGCTTCACAATATGTTGATGCGTCAGATTGGGTAGCCCTTGGGAGATTTCGATAGCAAATTGAGCCAGCAGACAGTTGGCGATAGTATCTCAAGCCACCTAAGCAGACAAACACCTTATCTTGACATTCACATCATCATACGAGCACTTGTTCTATCGTTTCCACTAATAGTTCACATGCGCAGACATTTTGTATACAGAATCATACCACTTTTACATATCACCACTACTTCAAACCATTATTTAAACAATAATACATATTACGGCCCGCAGCTGCCCCTGCAAAGGTCGCCCTGGCTGGGGCATATAGCAGCCTGCTCGACGGGTAGACACTGGTCGGGCCCAAATGGCCACATGGAAAATGTCCTATCATACTAAACTATATGGGAGAATGCTAGGAAAATATAGTACGTACCTGTTTCCGACTCTAAGATCGCCCCAAGGCTCGGCCAGGCCGTAAGTGGGTGTAAGGTGCATGGCAAGTAGTGTTTAGTGATGTGTATGTGTCTGAGACCTGGACCAGCTTAGGTGACCAGCAGCGGCCGAGTTCCAGGCTGCCCCACAATGCTGCATCGCTCCAGCAGGCTCCACAGCTGGACCATTTCTTTCTTCATTGTCACTATTTCAGTCTATTAACTTCATTGTACTTTTAACTAACTTAAACTCGCCTAATTCCACATTCATCGTAGAATCGAACACGTGATACCCGACACAGTACGGACAGTAGTTCAAAGTTCGACATTCAATGTCCCGGATTCACCCATCACAAAACTATAAATAGGGAACTAACGCGATCTCTTCATGAGTCACACGGTTCAGCGTTAAAGACAACTAGGTTCCTTCGCTCGACACCAAAACACCACGCCACGATAAGAATTCAAAATACGCCTCGTTGACACGTAAAACCAACAAACCAGCCAACACACAAAAAAGGGCACTTAACGCGACGGCACAATTATAACGACTTCCAGACAAGCAACCGGGAGACGCTCTCGAACAAGGAATGCGCGGTTCGAATCCCAGACCGCATATCCTCTCGGCACGCGCGTGCTAAATTCCGCGTCACCCGAGCAAGTTAAATATTGCAAAATTCACTTTCAAACGCAATCACTATATAATTTGTACAATTACTTTCAAGGAAGTTACTTTAATCAATCGAACACAATAAAAGCCTCTTGTCAAAACTTAAACCCTAGACAACCTAATCCGAGGCGGTTTTCACGAAACCCATTACGTAGCGAAGTAACATGCACTAAATCTAACTATCTGGACCCTACCGGTGGCGTGAACTTCTGCCGCGATAACCGAGATACGCGGATTCACCGCATCGCGGCCAGCGAGCTACTCATCTATCTTCGCCCACGCGTCGAGCCACTGTAAGCCGCACACGGCCGCTCCACGGAGAGAATATAATATAATTATAATGTGGCCACCCAAACCGTTGTCCTTACATTTTCAGGCCAAGAGCTTCCTTCTCACTTATACTGCTTTTACACCTCAATTCCTGTCGAAACCTATATACTCCCTTCCATACAGTGTCTGAAGTGTTGTCGCTTTGGACATGTAAAGGCTTAATGCAGATCAAAGCCACGCTGTTTCAAATGCTCAAAAGAACACACTGGAGATAATTGCGTTACAGATATCCCAAAATGCCTGTTCTGCTCTGCTTGGCAACTGATAAAAGTTGCCCTGAACATACTAGACAAAAAGGCATTAAACTGGTCATGTCCCAAGAAAATATTTCATATTTAGAGGCATCTGCTCGATTCCCTGCAGTTAGAAGACCTTACGCTGATGTAGCTGCATCTTTAGGGATTCCTTGCCCACCCACTTCATCACAACAGTTATCAAGTACTCACCCTGCTCCTCATGTTTCTCAATCTTATAGAAAGACTGTTTTCAGAATTAACCCAACTAGATCTGTTTCAAATTCGGTAGGCTATGATAAGGTAGCACACAACAATATTGTAAGAACCCCTCTTCCCTTCCAAATGGTCATGCTCTTCAAGCTAATTTATCCCCTAATGATAATCTCCTGGAAAACCTTGTGTCCTCCATCTCTGATATAATTGGCAAATTTGACGACATACACCTACCGTTTAACGTGAGAAATAAACTTGACATGCTCTTCCAAAAAATTTATAGAATTCAATCGCCTCCACATCCTCCAGTGGAATTGTCGGAGCATCAAGAACAAGAAATCTGAACTAACTAATTTGATAAATACTCATAACCCCTCAGTCATTGCTATTGCGGAAACCTGGATGAGACCTGGTTTCAGATTCAGAATACCTGGTTTTTCGTGTATCCGTGACGACCGCAGCGATGGCTACGGTAGCACTATGATTCTTCTAAATAGAATTCTTACCTCTTGCTCAATCCCCCTTCCACCTCTACAAGAGAATATTAATGCAACAGCTGTAAAAGTAATGGACATCACAATTGTGTCAATATATATTTCCAATCCTACTCCTGCCTGTATCCCAGAGCTTAACTTAATTCTGTCTAGCATAGCTCCTCCTTTTATTGTAATTGGGGACTTCAATAGTCACAATGTACTGTGGGGTTCTCATAAAAACGATTCTTTCTCCTATCTTTTAATAGACGTCTTTAATGAGTTTAACCTTTGCATTTTGAATAATGGGTCTCCCACCCGCATGGTCTACCCTTCCCAAAGTCCTAATTCTGTTGTAGATCTATCCCTCTGCTCTGATAATTTAGCTGCAAGTATCAATTGGAACACTCTATCGTCCACTTCCCCATACTTTTGTCTTTGTCCAGTAGACGCCTTCCCACTAGGAATAAATCATGCATTTCGAAGTTTAACGTGTCCAAAGCCACCTGGGATGTATATCTTTCTGATATAGAAACTAAAGCTCATTATCTCCCTCCAGTGTCTCACGTTAACTTACAACATGCCTACTCTGATTTTATCTCCCTTTTAAGTGAATCTGCTACAAAATCTATCCCCCTTAAAAATAGTTCCATTAACACAATTTCCTCACCTCCTTGGTGGGACGCAGAGAGCTCTTCTGTAGTTAAAAAACGCAAAGATGCTGAACAACAGTACTCTGCAAATATGTCCATGGATAACTTTATAAATTATAAAAAAATAGCCGCTTAAGCCATAAAAACATTCTCGGAGAAGAAGAAAAAAGCATGGATTTTATTCTGTGAGAGTCTGTTACCTCGCTCTCCAGCCTCACTTGTTTGGAAAAACATAAAGCGATTTCGTGGTTCTCTCAATGATAGCCAAAT